CAGTTGGTTAAGTGTCTGACTCTTGATTTCGGCTCAGGTATCATCTCATGGTTTGTGAGTTCGAGTTACGCATCAGGCTACATACTGATAGCGCAAGCCTGCTTGGGATTCTCTCTCCCTTCCTCACTCTCTCCCACTCTCTCTCCCCCACTTGTGTACATGCTTATTCTCTCTGTCTCTCAAAATAAATAAATAAACTTTAAAAAATAAAAAAAAAGTGATTTTTAGATATTGATCTTTTATTCTGCAGCTTTGCTGAATAAGTTTATTAGTTCAACTCGTTTTTAGTTGATTCCCGTAGTGAGTTGTATATATAAGACTATGTCCTCTGAAAATAGAAATAGTTTTACTTCTTCCTTTCCAATCTGGATGCCTTTTATTTCTTTTTTGTTTTTTTTGTCTAATTGCTGAGAAGGAGCTTTTTAAACAAAGCTTGGGGTCTGTCTAGGTAAGATGAGGAAACAGCCCAATCCTTGTCACACCCCCTGACTGCTCTTGGCCAGAGGGCACATCTTCTCTGTGTGCAGATGGACGTGACATACAATTTTCCAATGACTGCTGATGGCCCTGTGACAGTTAGGTGTAGTATCTGCTTTTCAGGTGTAGAGAAGTGAGGCCCTGAGGACAAAGGCTGTGTCCACGGATCCACCTCCGGGAAGGATACCGGGCCAGCCTTACCACCCAGGCCACTCAGTGCCAGATGTCCTGCCTGCCTGGCTCCTCCCACAGAGCCCCTAACACCAGGTTCCCCTCTGTGACCCCCTGACTGTGCGGCGTCTGCTGCTGCTCCTTCTTCTCTTCTGTTGGAATTGAACGATGCCACCAGTCCACATCATGAAGCCCGGATCTCCCCAAAACCAAGGTGATATCTTTCTCTTTTGAAGATCTGCAGCCTTTGTAACTTCTGGGCAGTGTTTCCTGTGTCCACTGCTAAAGCTCTCTAAGGGTAGGGGCATTTTCCTTCCTCCCTGTGTCCCTGATGTGTGAGGCACAGAGCGGTGTATGTTGTGAGTGCCCGGCTGTATTTGTTGAAATAAAATGTGATTGGTTTGGCCAGCCTTCGCAGAGCCGCTGTGCCGGAGAAGCGTGTTCCCACTGTGTATAAGGGCAGTGGGTGTGCCCCCCACATTCGCAGCCAGGAGCCCTGCAGTTTGTACAACTGTGTGGCCAGCAGCACTCTCCAGAAAACAGCACTGAGGCCAGAATAAAGTGGGAAGCATCAACATTTGCGTGGAATGGGCTCTTGTTCTCTAACATAAAAGCTGTTTACCAGTTTAGTAAATACTGGAGGAAATCTGTAAAGTACAACCTTTTACAAGTGTTTGGCATGATTAGAGTCCTGTAGAGTGCACATCACCTTTGACCCCGCAGTTCTGTTGCTGTAAGCTTTCCTAAATGTCCAAGGATAGGTGTTCAGGAATGTTCACCGCAGACTGCTCATAGTCGCAAAGCAGCAACAGCAGCCTAACTGTGCATTAGTAGAACTGGTTGTAGAAATTTTGGTAAAGCCCAGTGGAGTGCTATGCGCAGCCCTTCAAAGTAATACCGTAGATGTGTGTGTGTTGATGAGGGAATGGCCAGAGCACAGGCTTGCTTTCAAGAGGAAGCTGTTGACGAGCTTGCATGTGCAACACAGTTCGCATGGAGGGAACAAGAAAGACCGGTTTTCCTTACGTGCACTTGCCGTCTTGAGGTGTCTATACACTCTCCCAGGAGGCCACAAGGGCGCGTCTGCCTCTGGGTAGTTGAGGTTAGGGGATCTGGTGCTCACTCTTTACATTTTCCTCCCCCGTCTTGGCTGCTTATTGTCTTGTCTGAGGGCATGTACTGTGACAATATAAATGAAAATCTCACTGTGCTCCCTTGTACATCTGGTTTAGGGTGGCTCAGTTGGTTTAGCATCTGATTCTTGATTTCAGCTCAGGCCATGATCTTACAGTTTGTGAGTTTGAGCCCTGCATGGGGCTCTGCTGACAGCACAGAGCCTATTTGGGATTCTCTCTCACTTGCTGTCTCTCTCGGTCTCTCTTTCTCCCTCTCCACCCCATCCCGTGCTCACTCGCTCTCTCTCAAAATAAATAAACATTTAAAAAAAAAAAAACGGTTCAGTGGGTTGTCATGTATTCACAGAGCTACACACCCATCCCCACTGCCCGGTTCCTGAGCACCTCCATTACCCCAACAGGAAACCCCGTGCCCATCAGTGCATGCTCCCCTCCTTCAGCCCTGGCAGTCATGAATCTGCTTTCTGTCTCTGCGGATTTACCTATTCTGGACATTATGTGTTTAGACCATTTGCTTCCGCTTCTCTTTCATCCCGCGTGAATGTCAGGTGGAGGAGGTCTAGTGTTTCTCTGGCTCTTGCGTGTAAGCACATCTTTCCCTCCTTCCCAGAGGCTCCTTCTCCAGGCTGCAGTCTGGATCAGGAATGGGTCGCGCATGGGCCGAGATGCAGGGTTGTCGGAGAGCATGTCAGGGGCCCGCAGCGGCCCATTGCAGGTCGCCCACGCCGGCACCGTGTTACCGTGAGTCCTGACAGACCTGCCGGCCGTGGGCTGGCCTCTGCCCTTCGGGACAGGGCTGCTGTGGTGTTGTCTCTGATGTGCCTGGGGTACGTCCTGCAAGTCTGTTCACGTCTCTGAAGTGGCCTGCAAACCCCGCAGACCCCAAACTGTAGGCTTCTTCATACAGACCACACCATGTTGAGGGTGAATGAACATTATTATTTATCATCAGTTTGATCCAAAGTTCATTGTCTCTCAGACTTGAAATAGGAATTCACCTTTAAAGAATCAAATATTTCTTATTACAAACTGTTTATTGAACACATAGCTTCCTAAGCACTATTGGCCAAGATACCAAACCATAGTCACAAGTAGTTTATAATCGAAGGAGGAGTTTTCAGGGCTAGAATCTCCAAGACCAGATCCAAAAGCTGAGCAGTTTTCTTTTCCTGGAAGTCGGTTGTCGTAGAAACACACCTCAGTACTAAAGGCTCAGACCTCACCTTTGCCTCTGTGACCAGCTCAGCAGATGTGTACGGGTACCTTGTGCCCATCAGGCACTCCAGTAGGTACCTGGTGTTTTCCGTCAACCAAGCCCGAGTCTCCTGCCGCTGGAGAGACTGAGCAGTGGAAACGGCACAGCCAGGGCAGGGGGTGGGGCAGTGGGCCTGGCCGAGGTGGGCTCCCCGAGAAGGTGGGGATGTGGGGTGGGCCCAGAGCGGGCCTGAGGCGGGGGCTGGAGAGGCTCGCTGTCGCTGTCACAGTGGCAGCCGTCGGGCTCCGGGGCAGCCATTTTCTCGGACAGGCGGACTAAGCCCCTTCCTGCTTAGCGTCTTGTGAACAGGATTCTGATCAACAGATTTGTGAGCAAAGGAGTGCTGGCCTTTTGAGGTCATTTTGAAAGCTTTTGCTCTGTTTTCTTTTCACAAATAGATGGATTTCACGGGAGGCTCCCACACTTGGCCACAGTGATGTTCTGCTTTATTAAAACCAGCCTGAGTGTGGCTGGAACATGGACTCATTGGTTCGGCAGATGCTGGGCCGTCGGCTTCCTGTTCGTCCCAACTTGTGAGACGTTCATTCTTTTAGCCTCGCAGGAGGCACAGCGAAGCCCTGGGGAGCGGGCTCTGCACCGCACCCCGGGGTGAGGGCTGTCTCAGCAGCCGGGTGCACTGCCGGGACCCACTCCAGCTCATGGCAGCCTGGCACTGAGGAGGCGGGGAGGCGCTGGGGGACAGACCCTGGGGCCTTGTCAGTAGAAGGAATGTGGCCCTTATTTTTGTTAAGTAGCAGAAATAAACGGACTGAGCGAGGACATAAGGTAGTTTTGAGAGATCTGGTGAGGGGTTTTGTGTGTGTGTGTGTGTGTGTTTTAATGTTTGTTTATTTTGAGAGAGAGGGGGAGAGCGTGAGCAGCAGGAGAGAGAGAATCCCAGGCAGGCTCTGTGCTGACTCGATCCCACGAACTGTGAGATCACGACCTGAGCCAAAACTCTAAGAGTCAGACGCTTAAGTGACTGAGCCCCCAGGCACCCCGACCTGGGGAGTCTGGGAGGAAAGTGCTCCGCAGGTTGGCCACGTGCGTGGCTGTGTGCTTCCGCTGGCCCGGCCACTCCAGCAGGGCCCTTCATGGCTCAGGTCCGGGAACTCTTCCTTTGCCTGTTGATGGGAACTTGCAGGCGGGAACCCAGCACCCTTGTCACCGTGTACGCTAGGAGAGCCCGTCCAGACAGGCATCAGAGAGCCGTCTCTTCAGTCCCCGTGTCCCCTCGGCCGGCTCCATCCCCAGGTGTGGAAGGCCTGCAGATCCACAGTGGGCCTCCCCTGGAGCCCCGGGATGGGGTGCATGGTGGGGGGCCACATTGGCACAGGACTAGGGAGGGGAGGTGGGGCCAGGCTGGCAGCACAGGTGCAAAGCAGGTACCTGTCACGGTGAACCCGGGTTGGAGTGTCGTGGGTCCCTCGTGGGGTCTGCTGGGGGAGGGTGGCAAGAGCAGCATGAAGAGTCTGTGCCGTAGCCACGGTACCTGCTGTTGAAGGGGGTGACGCTGTTCCCAGCACAGGCGCCAGAGCATGGCCCACTGCACCCCACCGCGGGGACTGTCCTCGGCAGTGAGGCTAACCAAGAAATAAAATTGGCTGAGGATGGGCTGTTGCTTTGGCCAAGATATCAGAATGACACATAGAAGTTTCAGCTACAGCACAGCAAAGTATTTTGCTGTATTGCTGTATTTCAAAGAACCTTTAAAGATACAACTGATACTGTTAGAAGCGTTTTAACCGTTAACAGTAACGGTCGGGTAGAGTGGGAAGGAGAGAAGCATGTTTGGTCATGTGTCGTTCCTGTCACATACTAGAGTCTGGAGGACCCCTGTGTGCTATGTGAACTGGAGAAGCCCCTTCGGCTCTCAGGCACGTCTCCGTTTCCAACGCCGGGTTTCTTCGTGCACAGGACGGCGTGACACACTGTACTCAGTGCTGCTGCTTTTCCCACAGAACCTCTCCTTCCTGACATGGAGGCAAGTAAAAAGATGGATTCCCCCGGCACACTGCAGACGAACCCGCCGCTGAAGCTGCACCCTGACCGTGGCGCCGGGACGTCCGTGTTTGTCCCCGAGCAAGGAGGTTACAAAGAAAGGTTTGTGAAGACCGTGGAGGACAAGTACAAGTGTGAGAAGTGCCGGCTGGTGCTGTGTAACCCGAAGCAGACGGAGTGCGGACACCGGTTCTGTGAGACCTGCATGGCCGCCCTGCTGAGGTGGGTGCCCTGCTGCCCCGGCCGCATGCCCCCTTCCTCACTTCTCTGAACAGTAAGCTCTAAAGGGTAAAAGCTCTGAAGAAACCCAATAAAATTCTCAGAGCCTGGCCTGTGATCATCTAGGGAAACCCAGGAGCGCATCTTACTAGAGTTTTCCAGGGCTTCTGAGACTCATGGCCTGGATTGCCCAGCCCCGTCCCCCAGACTGCTGCCTCCTCTCCCCACAAGCACCTCCCAGAAGTCGCTCCTGCACCTGCCACCTTCCTGATGCCACTCGCCACACTGGCCCTGGTGCCCTGATGCCCCACTGGCCCCGTCTGTGTTGCTGAGTTTTGCTCTAGAAGCTCATGGCTCCGTAGACGAGACACACCTATCAGCAAAGGACAACGGAGCCCTTGGAGTGCAGATGCTTGGGGGGGGGGGGGGCGCGGGCAGCAGGACTGGGCACGTCCTCGCCCAGCTAGGAAGCCAGCGTGTGCACGTTTACCCAGCAAGTGTAAGCGAAGCACGCAGGAGCTCTCGGAAGCCCTTGTCAGCTGAGTCCCAGTGCCGTCTTAGAATCGCACAGGGACCTGGGGAGGCAGCCTGGAGGGTTACAGCACAGATAACTTGGGCCAAGAAAGCATCGTGGTTCATCCTCCGGTATTTTCTGGGCATCGTGCTGGGCACTGGGGGTCACGGCAGGACGCTCTCAGACCTGGTCCCCACTGCCAGGGCACAGGGGCCTGGGAGGGCCGCCCACGTCTCTCTTCCTGATTGGCCCCTGAGGGCAGGGCCCTTGAGAATCACACAGCAGGCAGCCTCCAGGCCTGTCATCCTCCCCCGGGTGCTTCCGGCTCTGGTCTCATCCACTTACCCTGGACAGTGAACTCTGCTTCCGTTGCTTGTGGGTAAAACAACTCGAGTCCAGCTTAGTGATGGCAGGATAGCCTCGGAGCACCTGATTTCCCTTAACCCAGAAACCTGCGCTGCAGCTCGGGGCCGGGCTCCCAGGGCAGGGCACCGGGAAGGCCGTTCCCCTTCTGGGGTCCCGCCTTTCCCTGCTCCTGGCTCTCCTGCCCTGTGTTTCCGCAGGTGTCAAGGGATATCATCCGGATGCGACTCAGCCCTGGGCTTATGAATGTGAAAAGATTCATATGGTTAAAGCAGTTTAGCACAAGCTTTGTATTAGTGTAGTCTACATGAATGAGCTTTTACTTAAAACACACTGTGTCTCCCATCACCTCTTCAGGTCTCCTGCCTGGCTTTGCAGGCGTTGGAGCCCCGCCACTCTGCCCACAGCCCGTACACACTTGCTGGCCCCGCCTCCTCCTCCCTGAAGCCTCTGTGGACCCCTGTGTCGGGCAGGGGCCGTGGAGGTAGAAAGGGTCAGGCTTAGTTTTATTTTTAATCTCTAGGAGGTGGTTTCCAGGCACAAGGTGCGGTTAGAATCAAGTCCAAACATGGGCAGTGGGGGAGCAGGGCCCTTGTCCCGTGTCTGGGGACAAGAGTGATGTAGTGGACGAGCTGCCTCCATAGACAGGGTCAGTTTCAGACTCGCGTGCTGTTAGCTGTGGAGTGGCGTTGGCTTTTCAGTACGTGGTGAAGGAAGATAACCTCTGGAGAAAGTTCTGGCTGTTTTCATAAAGCAAGACCGTTTGTAGGCCCCCCCAGTAAGCTGTGGACGCTCACACTGAAGAGCTCCTCCACAGAGAGCTAGTTTTGGTTTCTGAAATAAAATTTCACTTTTAACTGCAAGGGGCTTTCCAAGTGGGACTGATCTAAGCTGTTCTGTGTAAAAACTTCCTTATGAAAAATTACCATCAGAAAAATTCAGCCCTTCTCTCCTGTGGCCTGGTACCCGAACCCTGCTGAGCGCAGCTTCCTGGAGCTCGGGCTGCGGGTGTGAGTGCTGCCCCGCACGCTTGGCCGTAAGGCTGTGTGGGACAACAGGACTTCCGCTCTGTCTAATGTCTTCGTTGTGTGTTCTCCCCTCAGCTCCTCCAGCCCCAAATGTACTGCGTGTCAAGAAGGCATCATCAAAGACAAGGTATCCTTGGGGACTTGAGAACGACCGTGTTAACTGTTTACGTGGTTCTGCACGTAGAGTTTGCATCCAGGGCTCCGGGCGTGCCGACCGTGTCTCGGGGGTCAGGGCGATGCTGCAGGAGCCAGGCGGGACCCGTCACACCTGTCACACAGGCACCGGACACGCACGGCAGCTGTGCTCAGCGGCTGCCCAGCTGGGTGACCTCGGCCAGGTGCTTCACCCTCTGAGCCTGTCTCCTCACCTGTGACGGCAGTGGCACCACCTCCTGAGACCTGGGTGGCTTGTGAGGGGTGGGGGGCCGGCGTAAGTGAAGCGCAGAGACACACCCCTGGCCCGCACAGCCGGGGTTCAGCCTGCAGAGAGCTGGGCTTGGGGCTCGGCGGGCCTTGCTGTCGGCCTGCCCCTGGGCACCATCTCCAAGTCCTCAGATGGATGCGGGATTCCCCCACCATGTGCTTATGTGTGCCAGCAAAAGCTCTCGGCCTCGTGCACACTCTGAGGCCTCGGCGGGGGCCACCCCCCAGCTTCCCTCCTGGGGCCCCAGTCCCCACCATAGCGCCTCCAGCCATCTACACGTCAGATCCTGCTAGGCACACTTCTGGTTTGAAACGACTCACTATTAAAGTACTTAAAATATCAGTAAAAATGTGTGTTACTGATATCTTGATTGATGAACCTAACAATTTTTAAAATGTAGGTCATTAAATTGTGCAGTAAAACTCTTGCTCTGGGGTTTTCCTGCCCAGTGCACTTTACAGACTGAGTTTGTCATCAGGGCGGCCTGGGTGAGTGCAGTGACGTGAGGATCCAGAGCCAGGGCCCCCGGTTTAAGTCCCCGGACAGTGGAGAGACGGCACTGGCAAAATGTGCACGTACCTTGTGTTCCTCAGCGATTCCCTGCTGCTCCAAGTTGCAGTCAGCAAAAGGAAAACACAGCCCTCTACCCTCTCCTCCTCCTCGCTGGGTCACTAACTTGTGAACGCAGATCAGACCAGCAAGACTGAAGAAGAGGTTGGAACAGTAGACCGGTCTGCCTCACTGTTCACAGCTCCTAGCGTCGGGGGCGTTGACAGCCGGAGAAAATGACTGGTTCTGTTGGAGCCTCTTAAATGACACTGACTGACGCCTCGGGTCCTCATGGGAGGATGGGATCGGAGCCCGAGATCGGCCTCTGTGGCCACGGCATGGACTCACGCTCCACACTGAGCACTGGGATGGTGACCATAAATAGGCTCAGCCCTCAAAGTCTGGCCTTTCACTAGTCTGACATTTCCAACCTGTGTTTTTTATCTGTAAAGTTGAACTCAAATGACCTAGGGAACTTAATGCCACAAAAAGGAAACATGTCTTACTGGCTAAAAATACCTGTTTGGTGACTTTGGTGTGTTTTTTTAAAAAGTCATGTTTATAAAGGATTAGATCTGACTCCAAATTACTTTATTTTTAACAGCTATTGATTCTATTTCTTTGCCTATGGAGTTGAGAAAGGCTTGCTAAGATCCCTGTTTTTTCACTGTTCTATAATGTTAACATATAGGAGTTTCTTAGAAATGCCTGAAGACTAAGATGGTATAAACTGTGTTGCTAGAAGGAGGGAGCATGCGTATTTTCTAAGGGAAAAGTAAAATTGAAGGAAGGTTTTCATTTTCAAAGGGCAGCATTTTCAGGGCACCTGGGGAGCTCAGTCAGTTAAGCACCCCACTTCAGCTCAGGTCACGATCTCATGGTTCATGGGTTCAGGCCCCACATGGGGCTCTGTGCTGACAGCTTGGAGCCTGGAGCTGCTTCTGATTCTGTGTCTCCCTCTGCCTGTGCCCCTCCCCTTCTCACACTATGGCGCCCACACGTGCGCGCACTCTCTCTCTCAAAAATAAATAAATGTTAAAAAAATTTTTAAAAGGGAAAGATTTTCATTATTGGATTACCTTCCATCTTTGCAATATTTATTTAAAAGAGTTTGCTTCAGTGACAGGCTAGTGCTGCTCCCATTTTGATGAAAAATGAGTTATTAGTGACATAACCTTGGGAGAAAGAACCAAAACAAATGTTTTATAAACCATCTGCAGAGTGTGGTCTTTCACAGTAGTTTTGCTGTTTCCTTATTTTTTATTAAATTTTTATTTATAAATTTATTAATTGTATCATATATAAATATATAGTATTTATTAAATATTTCCTTATTTATTTTTATTATAAATAAATATTATTTATTTATTATTTTTTAATGTTTATTTATTTTTGAGAGACAGAGCATGAGAGGGAGGAGGAGCAGAGAGAGAGGGAGACACAGAACCTGAACCAGGGTCCAGGCTCTGAGCTGTCAGCACAGAGCCTGACGCGGGGCTCGAACCCACGAACTGTGAGATCATGACCTGAGCCGAAGTCGGACAGTCAATGGCGCCCCACCCCCACCCCCGTTTCCTTAGTACGCGATCTAAAAAGGCCTTGAGTTGTAGTGGGTCCTGCCCTTGTCCCTCGATGGGTGTCTGCCGCCTGCAGAGCTGACTCCTGGAAGTCTCCAGAGTCCAATATGAACCTGGTCCTGGTGTGCCCGCACCTTGACGTTACATCAGAGTTAATTCAAAATGTTTGGATGTTCCAAATTATTCAGTAGAACTTGTTTTCTTTTAGCTTATCTAATGAAGGCAGTTAAGGTTGTACTATTTAAATTGTGTCTCTTAGTGGGGACAGTTGTTCATTCTACTTTAGAAATTAGAAATTCAGATGGTCCTTAATGCTTTTGAGGTCCACTTAAGAGATGCTCTCATGGTTCTTTTAAAGTGTTCTTGCCTTGTCCGCAGCAGCATGTGCAGATGAAGAAATATTAATCCTCTAAAATAACTGCTGTTCCATTTCAGGTGTTTAAGGATAATTGCTGCAAGAGAGAGATTCTGGCTCTTCAGATCTACTGCAGGAACGAGGGCGGGGGCTGCACAGAGCAGTTGACCCTGGGACACCTGCTGGTAAGTCCTGGGTCGGGTCTGGTCAGGGTGAGGCTGACTGTGAGGAGTGCAGTTCCCAAGCCTGCAGGCTGGTGTGCACCGGCAAGACCGCGTTTACGTTGATTTTCAAACCACAACCAAACGTGAAGGCAGCCCAAGCCACTCAGGAACCAAATGTTATTTTTATGAAATTGTTGGCAGAATTGCCAACTGGTTTGTAAGTACCCTCACCCTATTTAGAATGGATAGAAATCGGGGCGCCTGGGTGGCTTAGTCGGTTAAGCGTCCGACTTTCGCTTAGGTCATGATCTCGCGGTTCGTGGGTTCGAGCCCCGCGTCAGGCTCTGTGCTGACTGCCAGCTCAGAGCCTGGAGCCTGTTTCAGTCTGTGACTCCCTCTCTTTCTGACCCTCCCCTGCTCACGCTGTCTCTCTCTCTCTCTCTCCTAGAAATAAATAAAAATGTTAAAAAAAAAAAAACAGCTTTAGAATGGATAGAAATCTGAACTGATTTTTAATTTTGGAAGTCCCATTAAAACCTTCTCTTCTTTTTTTAACCATGAAATTCAACTTTATGTCTTATGTCTTTTGATTAGCTTATTTTATCACAGAAGGATATTTGAATTGACTTTTCTTTTAGTGTTTATTTACATTTGAGAGAGAGAGCATGTGCACACGTGCAAGGGTGGGGAGAGGATCTGAAGCAGGCTCCATGCCGACAGCCCAGAGCCTGACATGGGTCTCGAACTCACAAACCGTGAGATCATGCCCTGAGCCAGAGTCAGATGCTTAACTGAGCCACCCAGGCACCCCTGGATATTTGAATTGGAGTAAACAAAGTCCTTAGCAGATACCCATTCATTGTCCCTTGGGAGAGAATCAACGTGCTCCTTTCATAAGCAATATAGTTTGAATAATCGCTAAACATACGAATTTCATGGTCTCTCGATACGTTTACCACAAACCCTCCTCTGTGAAACCTGGTCTCGGGGTGGACGAAAACAATCCTGGAGGCATTAGCTGCATAGAATCTAGAATCTGATACTTCAGATCGAATTTCTCTGCCAATTTAAGAATTATGAAGCGTTTGTTTTCCAGGTGCATTTAAAGAACGATTGCCAGTTTGAAGAGCTCTCGTGTGTCCGTGCTGACTGCAAGGAGAAGGTGTTGAGGAGAGACCTGCGTGACCACGTGGAAAAGGCCTGCAAGTACCGGGAGGCCACGTGCAGCCACTGCCAGAGCCAGGTTCCAATGATCACGCTGCAGGTGCGCCACCCTCCCGCCTCCCTCCCTCCCCTCCGTGCAGCTCAGTCTGGGTGTGGTTTGTCACAAAATAGCACTTCAGACAACTGTTCTAAGAGGAGTGAAGAGAGGAGAAAGGAGTGAATAGCAGTTTTCATCTGACTTTAATTCAGAGTTATTTGTTTTGCCCATTTTGATTTGTATAATTAACATTTTCCCATTGCTTTGATTCACTATCACTTGGGGATGCCAAAAGAAGACTGATTATCCATAAAGGTAGAATTTTTCTTTTGTCCCAGGGAATGTCTTGAGAATCCTCTGGCATTGCCTAGTCTTTTAAGCAGCTCTGGGACATAGTCACCACTTGGCCAGGGACATTCACCTGTGGTGTTGAAGGGCAGCTGTCTGTCACGGAGAGAAATACGAATTTACCATTTTTCATGCCGCGATTATTGGCACAGTTCTGCATTGTGCATGTAGTAGAAGTCAGATCCCTTATCTGTAAATTAGAAAGAGGTGTTGGGGGGGACAACATACTTTGAAAACAGCCGGTAGTACAGTAACCCTCAAATGTTTATCCATTTCTTGAACAAACATCCACTGTGTACCTGCCATGTGCTGGGCACTGCTCTGGGAGGGGGTTCGCTGGTAAAGCTCACCTTCCAGGGGGAAGAGGTGATTAACACGCAGGCGCGATGTCTGCTAGTGACTTGTACTGTGAAGCACAGCACAGCAGCACTGTGGGGAGAGTGCTCGTGTGGGGAGAGGGCTCGTGAGGGCTGGCGCCTCTAAGGCCACCAGCAGCCGGGGTGGGGAGAGCACCTCAGGCAGAGGGAACTGACCCGGCAGGTGGGCTTGGGGAACGGCCAGAGGCCAGTATGGCTCCTGCGCCCAGAGCAGAGGCCTGGTGCCAAGGAGCAGGGGGTCGGGGGCAGCCGGTGGTCTGCCGTGAGCTCGGGGGTGATGTTGGAGTCCCCTGTATGTGCGACTCTATGACGTGTGTGCCGGCTAGACAGAGGGTAGGAGGGAAGCGTGGAGGCCAGGCCCGGTGTTGGGTGTTGGCCTGCGCAGGAGGAGGGAGGGAGGAGCTCGTGCCCTGGGGCACATTTGGAGGGTAGAGGCAGCTGGTGGCTTGAATCCCGGAGAACGTGTGAAAGGCTGTGAAGGACCGCGCATTTGTGACTGGAGTGCCTGCTGACGCGGGCGGTAGTGGGGCCTGTATAGGCTTGGGAGGGGAGCAGGGGAGTGCTCTGGGCTGCAGGTGCCTCTTAATGAGGTGCTCCTTGTAGCTTAGGCACTGGGGCCAGTGAGGGGGAGAGCCGGAGTCTGAGCACAGGGGCCTGGGCACACGGACGCTACAGGCTGCTAAAGCTAAGACGGGAGGCACCTAGCAAAGGAGTAGCCGGTATGGAAGGGTCAGCAGAGTGGTTCCCCAGAGGCAGAGGGAGCTGGAGAGTGGGAGGTGGGCAGGAAGGGCAGACGTTGCTGGGAGACGGTGGGTGGGTCGGGGGGAGGTTGCTGGGAGCGGCACTCTGACTGGGAGAGGACTGGAGACCTGCATCCGGGGCGTGCGGGCACGGTTGGCTCCTGGTGGGTATCGTGGAGCATTTATTGACCAGAATTTATGAAAAGTTTTTGTTTTTCTGTAGGAAATGAGATGTACCCTGCTTCGTAATCTCTATAATTTACCTTACTTTGTACAATTTTCTTACGCCTGTGACTTTCTTCTCTTGTGAAATCTTTTTCCTGTATGATTTCCGTAGACCTTTCTAATTATTAAGGACCTTTCAGAACTGTGGAAGATGGGAATAGTGTTCGTCCTAATTGAATAATTCAATTAACTAAATTCAAATGAATGAGACATATGCTTAATGAGCACTGCTTCTGACTTTACACGTGCTGCCATGTTGCTACCAAAGTTTTACTTTGCTTCTTGCAAAATCAGTTTCTTTATTTTCAGAATAGAATCCAGGAATTTATTTTCACTTGAGAAAGAATTGTAGAGTGTGTCAGTTAAACATGATGTCAGTAACTGACTCTGAACTACAGAGGAAGCTATAAAGAGACTGTTTATATATATATATATATTTTTTTAATGTTTATTTTTGAGAGAGCAAGAGAGACAGAGTGTGAGCAGGGGGAGGGGCAGAGAGGGAGGGAGACACAGAATCCGAAGCAGGATCCAGGCTCTGTGCTGTCAAATGGTGAGATTATCACCTGATCAGAAGTCAGATGCTTAACCCATTTTGCCACCCAGGCGCTCAGACTGGTTTTAAAGTAACAACGTAGCATATGGTTTCGTGGGACATTTAGGAGCGGGATACTTCTGAGGGAGTCGCTCAGGACACACAAGAGAATAACCTGCAGTGTCTCCGCTTCGTTCCACCTTCCGCTGAGGGAAGCAGCCCCGCTGCCAGTCAGAACTGCCCCAGCACGGGAAGTATGGTAACCGGAACATGAACACAGCACCAGTAAGGAAAGGCCAATCGGCTGACCCTCGCAGGGTCCAGGAGGCCTTTGGCAAGGATGTGGCGTTTGATCTGACCCAGGTCTTAGGTCTTTCGACTGCAAACAGGCGCAGAGGCACCAAACAGTCATTAGCAAGTTTGGGGCCTGAGTTGTGCAAATAAATACACCTTCTGCACCTCACTGTGGGGAAAGCTGTTTCTAAACAGACACGAGAGGGTGGCTTGAGGCGCACGTCACTTTCCATCAAGACCTGTACCAGTGATGAGGGGCATGCCCGCTTGAGGTCACTCTGGTGACCCCTCCCCTGACACCAGCATGGCAGTCACATGCCTGGAGGGGACCCGCCCTGGGCCTCCTGCCCTGTCAGTGCTGGGCTTTGACTCAGCTCAGCGCTCGCTTTGTCTTGCCCTCTCCTGCCCTAAGTTTGTTTTCAGAAAGAAAACAACTGCCTTTGGCGTGTCTGCAGCCCCAGGTCATCCTGACACTCCCATGCTTCCTGTGTTTTATCACGTATGTCAGTTACATCAGCTGTTGATGACATACACACTGATAGAGCCAAAACCTGGGCCATTGCAGTTCATAGAATTTCTTTCTTACATTTAAACCATGGTATTGACATTATATCAGCTGTTTTCAAGTTTTTCTCTTTTTAAATCCATAGATCAGTGTAAGTTATTAAGTGCCAGGAGAGAATCCCTCCTTTTACATTTTGTCTAGAAATTGTTAAATATGGACTCTTTTTATTTTATTTACTTTTATTTATTTTTTATTTTATTTATTTGAGAGATCGCAAGTGGGCAAGGGGCAGAGGCAGTGGGGACAGAGGATCTGAAGCAGGCTCTGCGCTGACAGCAGTGAGCCCAGTGCGGGGCTCAGACTCACGAACCGTGAGATCGTGACCTGACCCGAAGTCAGATGCTTAGCTGACTGAGCCCCCCAGGAGCCCCCAAAATTTACTTTTCTTAGGGATATGGTCAAATGGGTGAGGGGAAGAGTGGGTACAGGCTTCCGGTTAGGGCATGAATAAGTACAAGGGTCTAGGGTAGTTCAAGAAGGAGGCGTGGCACCTGTGCACCATTCACCCAGTTACCCCTCCAGGCCCCAGACCCATCCGGGCCTCGGCCCTCGGGGCCACTCCTCCCACTTGTAGATGAGCCGTTTGCCAGGGTTTCCCACTGAAAGACCCAAGTCTCAGGGGTCCCAAGCACAGCCAGGGAAACGGAAAGCCAGTGTCCCCCGTGTGGGACACTTGTGGGAGGCCTGCTGGTCAGGTGTGGACGTGCCCTCTGGGGGCTCCCCCAAGCCCTGAGCCAAGTAGCCTCGAGTCTGCCCTACAGACCATAGCGCAGTGCGCTCCTCGAGACACCGCCCTTCAGAACGCTCTGAAGCCGGCCGAGTGCAGTGCCCGGCCCCTCGTGCCTAGTCGGACTGAGGCTCTCAGCCACGGCTCTTGCCACCCTCCCCATCACTCAGCTCTACAGCAGCACAACCGTGGAGCCCAGAGCCAGAAGGGCCCCAGGGCCCCAGGGGAAAACCGCAAGCACCGGGTTCCCTTCTTGCTCAGTGATGCTGCCCCCAAGAGCCTGTCCCACATGCTGTGTCGTGTGGCCTGCAGCACAGGTGACTCTGCCACATCCGTCTCCCTGGTGGCCTCTGTCACGTGTGTGGTGTGCTCTCCAGGGCTCTTGGATCCCATGCCTTAACTTTGCTCCTGATGAGACGCCCACAGGACCCCCTCGGGCAGGGGTGCGGAGGGTACTGTCATCCAGGCTCTGCAAAGCTGCAGTCTGTGCACCGAAGAATGGGCGGCTCCCGCGGAGCTTGTTCAGTCCATCAGGCGTCTGGCTCTTGGTTTCCTCTCAGGTCCTCATCTCACATTTCACCCCACATCGGGCTCTGCGCTGACAATGCAGAGCCTGCGTGGGATTCTCTCTCTCCCTTTATCTGCCCCTCCCCCACTTGAGCTCTCTCTCTGTCTCTCTGTCTAAAAATAAACTTTAAGGAAAAAAAAGGCTAAACCATGATTTGTCCATATTTTCCGTGAATTAAAGATAACTTAGGTAAGAGTTCAGGGCAGTAATTTTTTAAAAAAAATTTTTTTTAAGGGTGAATTCTTTTTTTTTAACCTTTATTTTTGAGAGGCAGAGAGAGCATGAGTAGGGGAGGGTCAGAGAGAAAGGGAGACACAGAATCTGAAGCAGGCTCCAGGCTCTGAGCTGTCAGCACAGAGCCTGACACAGGGCTTGAAAGCACGAACCACGAGATCATGACCTGAGCTAAAGTCAGACGCTTAACCAACTAAGCCACCCAGGCGCCCCATCAGGGCAGTAGTTTAAATACCCTGTGAATCACCCTGTTTGCAGTGTTGGAGAAGCATCATTTCCACAAACTGAGAGGCCAAAGCAAACCCATCCTTCTCTCCCATGAGCAAAGGCCGGACCCTGGGCTGCAGTGAGTGGTGGCGAGGGCCGAGCCTGCCCATGCTCTCCTGTCGGGGTTGCGTGGGCACAGAGGGGTACCACCCAGTGGAGGCAGCCTGTGCCCCCCCTCTGGGGGACTGTCCTCCCCTGTCAGGTTTGAGCGGATCTCCTGAGACCCCTTACGTTTTGGCTCTTAAACTTTGAACGCAAAGACTCCTCCAGAAGTGTTAGAATAATCCCAAACAGGGGCAGAGAGCAGGAGGTTCTTCAGTCTTTGTGGTGACAGAGGTGGCGGTGGTGATGGGATCTGAAGGCAGATGGGCCACGTGTCTCAGAGCTGACGACACTTTCTCTTTTCCCTCCAGAAACACGAAGACACAGAGTGTCCCTGTGTGGTGGTGTCCTGCCCGCATAAGTGCAGTGTCCAGACCCTTCTGCGGAGCGAGGTGAGCGGCGTAGCCAGGCCTGGCCAAGTCCTTGGGGCGAGCATGCCATGCAGCCCATGCTTCCCCAGTAGCTGGGGTCAGAGGTTTTTCATGGTACTGACACATGTAGTAGAAAAATGGTGAAGAACCCATGGTGGGGGAGGGGGTAATCAGAAATTTCAGAAGCAAACAAATAAAAGCTACAAAGTGGTTAAATTCAAGGCAAAATATTGTTAAGAATTGAGAAGATGGAATTGCTTTACAGTGCAAGCAAAGGTGATAACTTACTAGGTTCTTAAAAAAAAGCTATTTTTAATTCTATAAAATAGGAATTACTGTAAGATCACCTCAAAATAAACGACTTTACAGACACCCCAGAACCATTTGGCCACGTGCTGCACGGGCTGGTGCTAAGGAGCAAGGAGGCCGCATTTCAGGGCCCAGTGAGGCGGGGTCCCTGGGGGCCGTCTCACTCTGCCCTCGGGCACTTTCTTGAAGGTAGGGAGATGTTACATCTTCCCTTACGTTAACTTGATCAGCATATGTCCAGATGGGAAAATTCCAGGGATCCGTAAATGTTTTTGCATTTGGTACTGACCCAGAGCCCCCCTGGCTGCTATTTTGGGAGCATCTGGGGCTCCCAGGGCTCAGTGCGCTCCCGTACCCCCAGGTCCCCCGCAGGCCTCGGTGCTCTGATCCAAGGAGCCTGCTCACCTCAGCCTTTTTCAGCAGCCTGGGATTTTACCACTGGATATTGGGGGGGTGAGGGTCAGTCTCTCACATCCCCACTGAGCAAGAGGACCTGGAGCTCCAGAACCAGTCTCCCCCACAGTGCCTCCTCCCAGGAAGTTGACTCTCCTAGGGAAGGGCAGGGCCTTGCCTGGTGACAGGAGTCCCTGGGCCTGGAATGCGCCTCCAGGAGTGGCAAGGAAATGCAGACAGATTTCTCCAGCTAGAACGTCCCTCTGCTAAAGTGAATGAATGAAGAGTCTGTATTGTTGAAGTGGTGACCAGGGTTTTCTCATCCTTCCAAAATTGTTACCCACTCAGGGCTGTCTGTAGGGGCAGAGGCTAACTCTATTTGCCTCTAAGTTATTTTTATTTTAAAAATCTTTCAACCTGCATTTATCTTGGGTTGCTGGTGAACCATGCTCTTGGTCTGTAGATTATTTTTGCCTCTATCCCAACGCTCCCACAAGGAATGACGGTGAAGGCCCTGGGAGCAATGGTAACCAGTTCAGGGGGAGGGAGATGTACGGCCCTGGATCGATGGTAGTGTCCTGAAATTAACATCAGATGCACGCATCCTGCTTTTACCACTAGGAGTGTTAGCCGGGCAGGTTCATGATTGTGCTGGTGGCACTAAAAGTATATTTAAAATAACTTCTAAGCTGGCGTTACCGTGCACAGTCCCTGCTACGTTCTGTGCCAGCCACCTGTAGTCTGCCCCTCGGGTGCTTCCTCCAGGCGCAGGCCAGAGCTCCCTGCCTGCGCTCAGAGGAGCATCAGGTGTGCCAGGCCTGTCAACGCCGCCACGGTGCCCGGGCTCAAAGGCCTTCCACAGGCGTCGGCCCGTAGGTTCCCCACTGAGCACTGTCCTCAACACTGCCCTGAAGGAAAAGGATTCAAGGACTCAGGAGAGCCATAGAAGGGCACGGCCATGCGCCTCTGGGAGCACGTGTGTGCTGGCACTGGGGGAGACACGCTCCCGCGGCCCAGCAATGCCGTGCGCTCAGATACCCACCTCCCTAACTCAGGGTCTAATTGTTTTCTATAAAGAAGATCTATCCCTAGAGTTTCCTGATGAGAATTTCTTCAATAAAAGAAGCTGTCCTGAAATTGTATTAGCCTAATGAATAGTACTATGTCTCTAAAATGTAGACATTTCAATTCCCTTTTCTCTTGAGGGGGCATCATAAGTGGTTTTTATTTGACGATGTGCCAACATTTAAGCTGAACAAGGGGTTTTTCTTATTCCAATGAGTTATCCTCTCCCAATCTCTCCTAATTTTCTTCTACCAATTAGACATGACAATATTAAGAGTCATGGTGTTAGAATGACCTTAGCGATCTGTGAGAAGCTACGTGAATTTATGGCCACTCAGAGGGAAAAAAGTCTTTTCAGAAGACAAAAAACTCATCTTGTTATCTTGAGTATTGGGAGTAAAGGTACATGGTATGAGCTTGCTCTGAAAATACAGTTCTCTCTGTGTGCACCGTATATTAGGTGTGTGACCCAGTTACATCCTTGAATGCTTTTTTTTCGTGTTTTCATGCAATTTTTGTTTATAGTCTTTAAATGTTCATTTCAGTTCACGTTTTTTCCCTTTCTTTTTTAAATTCTGACGCTGCAGACGGCATGTCACATTTGGAACAATTTGTTGTAGAGAAACTGCAGATTTGAGAAATGTTACAGTAACTGTATTTCTGTATTCTGGCGTATGTACGTGTATGCACGTGGCAGCAGTGTGTATTTACTGCGGGTGAGTCTAGGAAGCTGAGGACGTACGCTCGCCGTGGCAGACGAGCCCCCTTGGTGACAGAACAGACCAGATGCTCTCTGTGCCCTTACTGTGTTTGAACGTTTTTGTGCGAGCGCCTGTGCCACAACTCACACCTCTTTCCCGTTGCAGTTGAGTGCGCACTTGTCAGAGTGCGTCAATGCCCCCAGCACCTGTAGTTTTAAGCGCTATGGCTGCGTGTTTCAGGTCAGTATCCGACATCTGTCCTTCCCCGTCACTGACGTTCTGCCGTGGGAGAAAGTTACGATATTAGCGTCTTCACGTGCAAGTTCTGCACGTGGAGTATGTGCAGGGGACGGGTGCTTGCTCCCCGTGCCGGTGGCGTCCTGAGATTTCAGGGGGACACCCGTGCCGAGAAGGAGGTCAGGATGTGAGGAGATCAGGCACTTCTAAAAGCAGCTGGGAAGCGGGACACGTAGGACTGACAGGTGGGGGCGGTTCTAGAGAGCGTGTCACAGAACCTGAGCCAGTAATTTAAGTGTAGGTGGGTACAGCCCAGACACGGTCTGGCCGTGTGCACATCAGCACACAGTCGCGAGGACCACTCTCGTGTGTCCGTGGCTGCGTGTCCTCTTATCTATGCCACACCTCCCGGCACAGCCACGTGGAGAGGGCGTCTCCGTCACCGCCACGCTTGTGCTGCAGAAAACCTGTTTCTGGGGTTTTTGTTGTGTTTTTAACATGTCTGAGATTGCTAGTGAATTTGAACTGAGTTTCATTTAAACGTATATCTTAATCTTAGAACTATCAAGAGGGCAGTATATATTACGATTGAAGTATTTAATATTTAATTTTGTATATTAGCAAAACATTATTACGAACTCAGTGCAGAGATATTGGCATCTCAGTGTTTGCTTAGAAAATAAGAGTAAGAATGACCGTAGCTTTCCCTTTGCCTCAGTCTCTTGACGAGACAGAGCCCCACCACTGTTATGTCGTATGTAGTACCATTCATTCTGTGTATGTGTATATATATGTTTATATATAGCAGCACTTATATCAACATATATATATGAATATTCTATGTACAGAGTATATGTTTTGGAGATCATGAAAATGCTTTCTGTGGCTTCTTAATTTTCCAGTATCAAAACAAATTATATTTTCATACTGATTATGTCCTTAAATACATGAAGTACTATTGCACATGCTTATTACTGGTCTCCATCTTATGTACTCTGTAGATCGTTTATGTTTTGTATGTAACTTTCCAAGTATACTTAGAATAGCGAGGAACAGTACATTTTCTAATGCAGTGTATTTCTCTAATAAGTTAGTATTTTAGTAAATTATTTAGAATCCCACGTTGGTTATGTGTTCACTAGATCGCTGTAGCAGTATCTAGCTGTAACGGCAGGTTTTGAAGCATTTCCAATGTGCGTTTTTAATGAAAAAAACTTTAAAAGGAACAAAAATGATAGATCTAAGATTTAAATTTCCTGATATTACAAGTATGTCACACAGATGAGCAGCGCTTGGTACGAAACCCGAGGAGGGAGGAGCATGAACTTGAGATTGTTGTAGGGTTGCAGGGCCCCTGCCCTTCTTCCACCCCGAGCACGGCCCTTCGAAGGCTTTCCATGGATAAGGCTTCCCCTCCATGTTTAGAGCTGGCTTTAGATGGTGTGTTAGTCTTGCTGCGCTCTGCGAGGGAGGGAAGCCGGCTTAATGTGCTGCATCTTTGTTCTCGCAGGGGACAAACCAGCAGATTAAGGCCCACGAGGCCAGCTCTGCAGTGCAGCACGTCAACTTACTCAAAGAGTGGAGTAATTCTCTGGAGAAAAAGGTACGCCACACAGTTTATAGCTTTTACTGGCTTTTAATGATTTCTTCAGATTATTTAAAGAAAATACTTTTTATAGTTATGAATGGTTTGGGATAAAAGAAACGGTATCAGGAGAATGTCAAGAAAGTGCATTTCTCTTCACGTGACCCTAAGCTTATAAATGAAGGCGTTTGTGTTGGTTTGTTCTTTGTTAATTGCCAAGCCGGCATGCAGTGCCTTTTTGTTTGTTTGTGTTTAATCACATTGTGGTCACCTTAGCATTGACCTGGAACAGGGATTATCAAACTTGCAAACCTTCCTTTCTCTCCCCATCAACCTCATCTTTTGGTAAATAAAGTTTTATTGGAACACAGCTGTGCTCATTCATTGCCCTGTGGCCCATGCTGCATTTGCACTGTAATGGCAGAGGGTAGCATCGGAGACACAAACTGTACAGACCTCATAACCCAAAATATTTACTCTCTGGCTTTTTAACTGAAGAATTTTGCCAGCCCCCAGTTGGGAAGGTTACCAGTGCTAAATGCTTTACCTCTCCCTGTCTTGCCTAGGGGACAGCTAGGAAAAGCCATTGTCCTACCACTAGTGTAAGTAGCTGTCACTTTACGGAGTTCCGGTGGCAGGAGCACTTGCCCAGCGGGGCTTCTCTTCCAGAGGCCTCAGCTGTGGGGCTGGCGGCTCCTCAGCACCTTCCCCGCGTGGTGCTTCTTCCCGGGGGGATTTGCTCAGTCGCGTTCAGCTGGGCCAGACCCTCTTTTTGTGAGAAAAGATGAAAATGTCTAAGAATCATTAGAGGAGAAGTTGTTACAGGATCTCCCATGGTGGCTTCTCCACAAAAGTAAAAACTTATTTCAATATTCCAGAAACATTTACTGAGAATTTGTAGTAGAAGGATACTGAGGTGAATTAGAGCAGCCTGCTTTCTGCTTTCTGAAGATTTGTAGAGAACTGAATACCTTGCTTCCAGTGTTAAATTCAGCCTTTTTTTTTTTTTTTTTAAGTTTATTTATTGATTTTGAGAGAGACAGAGACAGCATGAGTCAGGGAGGGGCAGAGAGAGAGGGAGAGAGAGAATCCCAAGCAGGCTCCCAGCTGTCAGCACAGAGCCCAATGTGGGGCTCGAGCTCACAGGATTGTGAGATCATGACCGGAGCCAAAACCAAGAGTTGGACGCTTAACCGACTGAGCCACCCAGGTGCCCCTAAATTCAGCCAATTTAAAATGTAAATGTCTTTGATCGAATCTAAAATTTTAAATCAAAACGTTTTTATTAACTCTGACATAAAGTAGTTTTTTGGTATAAATGCTGAGGATGAGAAGCGACGAAGCACGGGCAGGTCACGTGTACGTGCACAAGGGCGGCGGGAGAAAGGTCTCATCTAACAGTGACATGAAAGCTGTGTTAGAAGAGTCATTTATGGCTTCCCTATGAACATATAGCAGTTGCTCTGAGTTAGTGATGGCTTATTGGTAAGTCTTTTTTTCCCTCTCTGTTTAAAGAATGTATGCTGTTTCTACTTTCTAAAGATTACAGGCATAAATGTCAGCACTCTCTGTCTCTCTGTTTCTCATTTTTAAAAAAATGTTTATTTTTGAGAGAGACAGAGTGCACGGTGAGCACAAGAGAGCGAGCGGGGGAGGGGCAGAGAGAAGGAGACCGAGGATCTGAAGCGGGCTCTGGGCTGACAGCAGAGAGCCCACTGTGGGGCTCGAACTCACAAACCGTGAGATTGTGACCTGAGCCCAAATCAAGGTCAGGACTCTTAACCTATTTAGCCACCCAGGTGAAAAGCACCCATCTTCTATGTTAGAAAAGCTTACGTCAAAGGGGAATGAGGAGGACCCCACCAAAATAGGCAAGGACAGATGTTGCTCTGAGTGAGGGGGTTCTTGGGGAAGAGTCACTGCTTCCTGGAAGCACGCGTGCCAGGTAGACCTTCCTATGAAAGCAGGGTCCACAGGTGCCCAGGGGCTGGATTCTTTGAATAAAACAAAGAAAATTTAAATTAGAAAGTTCCCTAAAGTAAGAGTTTAACATGGGCCGATGTGTGTTCGGTAATGTGAGATGTTTCTGCTCATCCTCAGGTAGCTTGATTTGTTGCAGAAAAAAAAAATGCCATTGTTTTTGGAGATATTACTGACATTTCTTATAAAAAAAAAAGTTGACATGTGGATGCCTCAGTGGCTCAGTGGGCTGAGCACCTGACTCTTGATTTCTGCTCAGGTCATGATCTCATGGTTTGTGAGATGGAGCCCTGTGTCAGGCTTCGAACTGGGTGGAGCCTGCTTAAGATTCTCTCTCTCCTCTCTCTTTCTGCCCCTCCCCCATGTTCAAGCTCTGTATCCGCATGTGTGCACATGAGCCCCCCCCTCAAAAAAAAAAAAAAGTTGGCTTACATGCAGCGTATGTTTTCTTTGGTTGTGAGAATAAAGAGTGGGAATTGTGTCTACCTTGAGAGATGGGAGTGAGTGAATTGGAACTTTGGAAAAGGCCAGGGCCACGGGTAGGGTGCTGCACATGGCCAGTCTGCACCACTTCTAGGGGCCCACGGGCCGGGGACGCTGTATGTTAGAGAGGAGAGTCTATTTGTGCAGCGTCCTAGGGAAGTGAAGCATTGTTGCTGCCCCTGAGGCATTGCATGTTTCGAATTCCTTCGTAAATACACATTGTTCTAATGTGTAAAACAGACTGGGGCGCCTGGGTGGTTCGGTCGGTTAAGGGTCCAACTTTGGCTCAGGTCATGGTCTTACAGTTCATGAGTTCGAGCCCCGCATTGGGCTCTGAGCTGACAGCTCAGAGCCTGGAGCCTGCTTCGGATTCTGTGTCTCCCCCTCTCTCTGTTCCTCCCCTGCTCATGCTCTGTCTCAAAAGTAAATAAATTTAAAGAAATTAATAAAATAAAACAAAACAGACTGATTGCACCCAGAGGTGCTGCTTGCCTGAGCAGATTGAATGTAGAAAGGAAGCCTGTCTTCACAGGGACACCAGGAATCGGTGCTTTATCACACCCAGGTTTGTCCTGACATGCCCTTGGGCCATCACCTCAGGTGTTGTGGGCATTGGGGGCACATCTAAGTGGAGCTGTCCCTGCACCCACCACGGGCCCCCCACTGTCTTTGGGGGTGGCACATCTATCGGTACAGGGGCCTTTCCGAAGGCCGGAGCACCCCATGGAGAAGTCTCGTGAAAGCAGCCGTATGGGAGTTGCCTTTGGACTCCTCTCCTGGGGGGTTTTAAAAACAGTATAAGTTGGTTCTTGGAAACTAATTATTTTCCAGAAAGATTTTGAAAAGGTCAAAAGTGGTCTTGGAAGTGCTCCCCCAGCAGCCCCTTCCTTGGGCTGACGTGGCCTTGCAGGTGAATATGTTGAGCTTTTTGGAAAGTCTTCTTGGGTGACAGGCCAGGCACGTGCACCCTACAGCTTCGTGTCTCTGTTGGAGGGCTAGGAGTTGGCCTTAGGGTTAGCTGAAGCGCATGTATAGTTTTTATTCCCACTGTGCTTTCCTGTTATGTTGGGAGAGCTTTTCAAGTGTGGGGTATGGCCCGAGGGTAGAAGTGAGATGACTTAGTGGATGGCAACTAGCACTTTTTAATGTAAAATAGAATAAAAGAGAAAGTATCAGGGTACATGGGAATGATTAGGGCAAGTATGGTTTTGTGATACCTGTGTCTTAGGTATACACAGACACACATACACACACACACACACAAATGTTTGTACAAATGGGGTGAGATGTAAGAACATGTTTCCTACTGTGTTTCCTGGTCAAAGTTTGAAAGCCTCTCTGGTAGAAGATTTATTCGTTTTCAGGAAGAACTGTAGAGTGTCCCATTCATTCTGAAATTCAGTCAGGTGCTGTACTGTGCCTCGCCTTATTTAATTACTGGGAGCGAGTCTGAGAAACACAGTGTGTAGGATTTCCTGTTAAGTTACCAGGACTTTCATTTCCTGTGTGAAGGGATTTCTTTTTCTGGAATTCCTTCCAGTGGGCTGGGAGAAGGCCTGTATTGTGAAAATGTAAGCAACTGTCAATATAATTGTCATAATTCATAAAACCATGTTTTGTTTGCTTAATTGAAGAATTTGTTTTTCAGGTTTCCTTGCTACAGAATGAAAGCGTAGAAAAAAACAAAAGCATACAAAGTTTACACAATCAGATATGTAGCTTTGAAATTGAAATTGAGAGACAAAAGGAAATGCTTCGAAATAATGAATCCAAAATACTTCATTTACAGGTAAGAAGCTTAAGCCTATGGCTGGATCACAGGGTAGAGGAGCATGTCTGTGTTCTTCAGGACTTTCTCAGTGAGATGTCTGAGCAAAAGCCCTGACTCTTGTCAAAGAGACAACCTGTTTCTCTTTCTTAAGACTTGAGAAAGGCATAGGCCACTCTTTGTTCCCCAACTTTTTCCCGGAGAACAAGCCCCTGCCTGTCTTCTGTGCCTTTGATTCACTGTTGGCGAAGGAAGGCTTAGAGCCCATGTTTTAAAAAATTGCTTGTTCTTATTATTATTTAAGATTTCATATTGTTCCTGAGTAGTTATGCGTGAAGTTTCACTTCCTAAGGTGAAGCGAAGCCAGTCTGTTTGTTCCGAATCTTCTAGAGGTGCACACACTCACCCCACTCTATTTCATGATAGCTATCCATGTGCACCTCAAAACAGCCTCTGCCGGAAACGGGTGATTGTGTTAAGAGGCCTGTTTAAATGTTGCTCCTCCTTTCAAATGTTGCTCCTCCTTTCTGTTCTCAACACAGGCACTGGCTAGTGTATTATTTCTGTAGATCTTCTCGTACATTAGCTTACTCACAGTATACATTTGTTAGACTGATTCCCACGTGCATCACACACACACACACACACACACCTATTTCAAAAGTGGCTTTTCAGTGCTTTTAGGTGTGTTTCCCTCTTAACTGGAAGATGAGGTATTTCTAGTAGCTCAGAGTCACGGCATCTTTGAGAGTGGCTTTCCTCCCACTTTGACATCAGAGGTTAGTCATAGTGGCTTGGATTGCATATTTATTTATTTTCATAAATTTGTTAAATTAATTTCATTTGTATTAAAACTTTGCGGTTTCCAAAGATGAGGAAAAACACAGTATTAAAATACAACAGATTGTATTAGAAAAGATACAAGCCATTGGTATTGAATCAAGTCAAAAAAGTACGTCACATAAAATACCAGCAAGTCTCCTGCTGGAAGTCCTGGCATTTTGCAGAGTGCCTGTGGAAATGTTCAGAATGTCCAGACAGAGGCCACGCTCACCTGCGTTGGCCCCCAGCTGCTGCCCCAGGGCTCATGGAGGTGCGTGGGGAGGCCACGCAAGTTCACGTTACGCTGGAAAATCACCTGTTAAAAATACCAACAACAGAAGAAAGAGTGAATAAGTAGTAAGTTCATTTATACTTCACTCTTTATGACCAGATAAAATTAGAATGTACATAATGAGGTCGTGGAGACACTCGTCTGAAACCTCTGATGTCATTACTTGCATCTTCTCCGTTTCTCCCTTCCAATGTGAAAAGTTTGAATTTACTTTTTCGTAGAGTTCAGTCATCCCACTGTGTGTGATTTATATTTTCACACTTTTGTGATTTAATAAACTGCTGAGATCTAAGTCCGAAAGAAAGGGGGGAAGCAGGTTGCGGGCATGCAGAGCAGTGGGGGTGGGCAGCCACAGGTAGTGCCCCTGACCGGTCCTAAGTAGTAGTGTGACAACTTGTCAGCTCTCTTCATGGAGGGAAAAGTGTGAAGGGAAAATAGCTTATATTGAAAGGAAGGGACTCCAATTACACTGGGCTCCAGATGCCTATAATCTCATTAAGTGCTGGGGACAAGTCACCAAGTGCTGAGAATCCTCTGGGCGGTCCAGCGTCTCCCCCAGTAGCATCTGCACCCAGCTGGGTGATGCTTTGGGAGGTGGAAGCTCACCTTTGCTTCACGGTGTGGCTGGGCAGACAGCGACTCTGGGCTGGCAGTCTTCTGTGACCATGGGTGGAAGGCCTCTGTGGCTGGTGCCCTGGCGGCCTTAACTCTCTGTGAAGCATGCTCGGCCCAGGGGCCCTTCCCTCCAGTCCTTCCAGAGCCTTCTCCACCTCTTTGATCGGAGCCTGGCTCACATGTGCACCTCTCCTCATTTCCTTCCTCAGAACCCTTCCCTTCCCTACCCCTGCCCTTGTCAGTGCCCCCCAGCCCTTGCATTGGGCCACGCGGTGATGCAGACGTGTTAGTCTCTGTATCCTCTCCTTCTCTGTCTGATTCCCCAGTAGACCCTAAAACCTCAAAGATGGTGGGACACGTGGAGTGCAGAGATCCTGAGGGCCCCACACAGGTATGGGGTGCGAGCGGAGTCGGTTAAAAAGAATGGGATTTAAGAAGGTATTTGCTTTTGCTGACCCAGGAAGGGCAAGTTCTTAATGTTTTACTTTTTAAAGAACCTGTTTTTCTTAATGAAAAAAAGGCCACGTAGATGTCAGCTGAATCTGACATCCGCCCTGTTGCTGGTAGAGACTCCATGAGCACGGGGTACAGGTCCGAAGCCGCGTGGCCCTCTGCCCGCCGGCCCCTGAGCGCCACCCACACTGTCTTGTTTGCACAGCGTCGGGTGCGTAGGTCCCAGTGACCCTGTGGTGCAAGCGACAGGAAGAGAGAGGACGGCTTGAGCCCTCAAGTGCGCCGTGCGTGACATGGACGGGTCGGTGCTGACGGCGGCTCTCTTGGTTAGGGTTTGTCTGCAGCCTGTGTGGCCTCTGGCTCCGGGGCCCTCGTTCCCGTGGAGCCCCACACCTGCGCGCAAGGCGTGTTCTTAGAGAACACGGTAGCAGCTGTGTAGACCACTCTTCAAGAGTGAGGTCATGTTTGCTGCACTCGAGACCTTGGTTTAGCCTTTGGCTTTGACACGGTCGGTTCATGCAGAGGAGAGGCCTGTTCACAAACAACACGTGCCCCTTGCCGTGTGTGGAGCTCCTTGTAGGGGACTCAGTGGAGCCCTGTGTGTGCACGTGTTCTCTCCTGCCCCCGCCCTACCAGCGCCTCTGTCACTCAGCGCTGGCCCGGCCACGCCCCTACAGCGGCCCTCATCTCACCGCGGTTTTCTTCCTGAGGTCACCACGTGCGCGGCCCCCGCCTTGGGAAGGAGGCACCACAGCCTCATCCCCTTCTTACCTCAGGGCCGTGAGGCTGAGAGGTGACAGATGACTCATCCCAAGCCAGCCTGCAGCTCAAGTCCACCCAGCGTCCGCCAGGCATCCATCAGGACCGCTGTCGATTACGTAGTTTTCATGAGCTCCCCCTGAAACTGCCTAGGATCCATGTTAGCCGAGCTGGCACTTTCCGTGGGGTTAGGGAGTGGCACCCTCTGCACATCCTCATCAGAAACACGTATGGGTTTGAGCGTCCTGATGTCGCAGTCGAATCCCCAGAAAACAGGCTTTGTGGACTCATTAAATATGCCTCCAGGGCACCTGGGTGGCTCAGTCAGTTAAATGTTCAACTTTTGACTTTGGCTCAGGTCATGATCTCATGGTTCATTAGTTGAAGCCCAGCTCTGGTCTCCGCGCTGTTGGTGTGGAGCCTGCTTGGGATTCTTTCCCCCTGCCCCCGCTGCCCCTCTTCTGGTCTCTCTCTAGAAATAAATAAACTTTTAAATAATGAATAAATATGTCTCCAGACACACATCCTTAAATAAAGTGACATCAGTGCGGGAAGGGGTAGGTTCTTTATAGAAATCATCTTTACTTTTTAAAAGTTAGCTAATACCAGGTTTTCTTGGAAAGAAGAGGAAGAATATTACTGTACTTCTACCCCAAAAAAGTAACCCAGACCTACTATGTTTGTTCCTTGGTGGTTATTAACAGCCAGTAAAGGTGCTGAAACTAAATGTTTAAAAATAGGCTCCGAAAGGAGAAGTGAGCGCGGCGGGGCCGGGGCTCCCCCCTGTGCGGCCTGCAGCTCCACACGCGGCCGGCCCGTTACTCACAGCCTCGCGGGGGCCGAACCACCCGGCCCGCCTGAGCTTCATTTCAAAAAAGTGCAGATCCTTTCCAGAAGTGAAAACCCTTGGTCCAGCATGTGGGCGTGCCAGTCCTGAAACCAGGCCGGGTCGCTGGCGGTCTCGTCCCACTGCTTACTGTTAAAGTGTAAATGGTGCATGTGTTTCTGGGGGGAAAAAAAGGCTTTCTGAATGATTTAAGACAGCATGAAACGCAGCCTCTCTGTCAACAGCCGCTTGTTTGCCAGTAGTGCTTCTGTGCCGGTGGCCGGCGCACCGAGCCACTGTGGGGTGTGGAGGGGGAGCGGCCCTCTCTTAGACGCAGGCCTCTGTGTTTCCGCTGGGGTCTTCAGACCAGCCATCAGGCTCTTCTGCTGCCAGCCCCATGCAGACGCCAGGCATCTGGAGCAGGTGCCGGCGTGCCGGGAGCCCTCTAGGGACCCACACAGGGTTCTAGGGCACCGTGTGCAGCCACGAGATGGGGCCGCCCCTCCAGCCCGGCATGTGGCTTGGCCTCTTAGGAAATGGAGACCTTCCCGTAGCTGGTGGGTGTTGCTCTGACATCCTGAACTAGAGACCCTATGACAGAGGGCCTCTGGGATAGGGATCCACGGCACCTGTGTCCCCCGAGGTGCGTGTGGGTGACAGGTGAGATGCTCGTGCGAGAGCTGCCGAGGCCCGGCCGCTCCCCTAACTGGCCGGTGTCTGATGGCGGTGGCACAGTCTTCAGAGAGTTCTAACTGCATTTTGCGTTTCTGATGCCTTTGATTTGGAAGCGAGTAATAGACAGCCAGGCGGAGAAGTTGAAAGAGCTTGACAAAGAGATCCGCCCATTCCGGCAGAACTGGGAAGAGGCAGACAGCATGAAGAGCAGCGTGGAGTCCCTCCAGAACCGAGTCACCGAGCTGGAGAGCGTGGACAAAAGCGCTGGGCAGGCAGCTCGGAACACAGGTGAGGGCAGCAGGGCAGGAGCGGGGCCCTGGGGTGGATCTGGGGAGCAGTGTGCATCCCAGCCCACCGCCCGGAGCCCGGCCAGGCCTGGGCGCTGGAGCGGGAGCACGAGCAGGGCGTTAGGCACATGCGGCCTCGGGGCTGCGGCCAGTGAGCCACCGCTCATGCAGACGTGCAGGGACCCTCCAGCCAGAGAGGCCTTCGTGGGAGACCGAAACGTTTCCCGTGTAGACACGTCCTCTCCACGTGGTACCAGCATGGTGGAGAGTGGGTGCTGTAGTGGGGGGTGGGGAGTTCCCAGCTGTGCTTGTAAGGCACAGGGGACAGAAAGGACCAGGGGGTGAGGCAGAAGACCTGGTGGCATGCGCAGCCAGCGCGTTTCTGAGATCCAGAAGCTGCTTTGGGGACTGAATGAATATTCTGAATGTTTGCGTGACCAGGATTGGTGGTGCAGAGGGCCTGGGCAGGTGGAGATGCCCACTCCTTACCCTGCTGGGTTAAGCCGAGGACTGAGAGTGACGTGGGGTGAGGCCACTCAGGGTACAGGTGACTCCAAGCATCGGGCTGGAAGTCAGGGGGACTTGAGCAAGAGTGGCCTGTCCCCGCCCCCATGGGTCCCTGAGGGTGCCTTGCAGGAGGGAGGGCCCTGCAGTGATGTGCCCTGTGACCTCCAGTGTGGCATCTCTGCAGGCTGTGGCCCCGGGTGTTGGGGGCCAGCAAGGCAGGGACCCGAGGCCTGTGATTCAGGACACGTCCCGGTGCCGGTCCTCCCCACAAAAGCCATTCCGTTTAGTGGCAGTGCTGGCGGGACCGGGGCCCTGAAGCCTTCCTGGCACTCACGGGCCTCCTTCACCCCATGTCTCCTCACCCACGGCAGGCTTGCTGGAGTCCCAGCTGAGCCGGCACGACCAGATGCTGAGTGTGCACGACATCCGCCTGGCCGACATGGACCTGCGCTTCCAGGTCCTGGAGACCGCCAGCTACAACGGCGTGCTCATCTGGAAGATCCGCGACTACAAGCGGCGGAAGCAGGAAGCCGTCATGGGGAAGACCCTGTCTCTTTACAGCCAGCCCTTCTACACGGGCTATTTTGGCTATAAGATGTGTGCCCGGGTCTACCTGAACGGGGATGGCATGGGGAAGGGGACGCATTTGTCGCTGTTTTTTGTCATCATGCGTGGAGAATACGATGCCCTGCTTCCTTGGCCCTTCAAGCAGAAAGTGACACTCATGCTGATGGATCAGGGCTCCTCTCGGCGTCACCTGGGGGATGCGTTCAAGCCGGACCCCAACAGCAGCAGCTTCAAGAAACCCACCGGGGAGATGAACATCGCCTCTGGCTGCCCAGTCTTTGTGGCCCAAACTGTGCTAGAAAACGGGACATATATTAAAGATGATACCATTTTTATTAAAGTCATAGTGGATACTTCGGACCTGCCTGACCCTTGACAAGTCACTGGGGAGGTGGGTTGAGCAGAAGGCAACTCCTCTGGGGGTTTGAACCGGCTGTCCCCACTGAGGTCCTCGCGCTCAGAGAAGGACCTTGTGGGACGGAGGGAGCAGCGGAAGGTGGCCGCGGGCCGGCGGGAGGAGCCGCGCGGGAGGACACACCCGACATGTTTTCTAATAGACTAGCAACACTCCACTCTGAAGAATTATTTATCCTCCAACGTGATAAATACTGCTGTCAGAGAAGGGTTTCATTTTCATTTTCAAAGATCTAGTTAATTAAGATGGAAAACATATATGCTAAACAAAAGAACCATGATTTTTCTTCCTTAAACTTGAACACCAAAAAAAGAAAACACACGCACACACCTGGGGACAGCTGGACATGTCAGCATGTTAAGTAAAAGAAGAATTTATGAAATAATAATGCAATTCTGATATATTCTAAAATTCAAGAGTGCAATCTTGTTTCAAATATAGTATACTGTATTTTTAAGGCCTCATCTGGTCTCTGTTTTAATAATTTGTTTGTCAGAAGACCCTGAAGTACACCTCGGTCTTTTTTGAAAGTCTAAATTCAGAATCATTTTTTAATTTAAAGTTCTAAGATAATTGTTACTGCAGACATTTTGTTTTAAAACGTTGATAGACTGATCTTTCTTGGCAGAAAATGTAAAATATCCAACGCTGGTTATCACTTGTGATAGGAAAGAGCATACTCAACCTGCTGTTATTTCTCGTTAGAAATGTAACCTTCGATCTCTGTCGTAGTTACTGACACTACTTCAAAATTATTACGGAAGGGAAACCGCTCATGGATGCTGTGCATCATTCTCAGATTTATAATTGTTTTCACCCTAAAATAGGGCATCTGTTGAACTTTGGAGTTCTAAACAAAACCCTGTAGGCTTATACAATTCTGCCCCGTCTGTTCCGACGCACTCTCTGTTGCTGACGACTCTGGCCCTTGGTGTCCAGGGTCTGGGGGTGGGCAGGTGGCTCGTGCTGAAGGAGGCCACAGCAGGTGTGTTTTTCTTCATCCTGTCACATTGCTGCATTTTGTTAACAATCTCCAAAGGCGACATCTTTGCGTAGAGGTGGTGGCATACTGTGTATGTGCCTTAGACGTGACACGCTGCTTCTCCACCCTGGCTTTGTGCTCGCTGTAGCTCTAGAAGGTGATGGTCTGACCCGGCGCTCCTCTCGACCGCTCCATCCCTGCCTCTGCAAGGGCGCTCACAGCCTCGCGCCCTCCGAGGAGGCCAGGCTCCGCTTCCGCTCCTGGAGCCTCCACTGCTTAGTTATCATAGACCCCAAGTCTCTGGCCCCCAGAGTGAGCCGCCTCGTCCGGGCGCGGGCGAGGTCCCAGCCCCGGGGCAGGAGCGGGGGCAGCCACCGCGCCTCTCCGTGTCCCCACCTGGGCCGTGGGCACCCGCCCGCCACGAAGCAGAACCCTCTGAGCATTCCAGAGACCGCCGCTCTCGGGGGGGCCTGCCCAGGCTGACGACAGGGTCCTAGAACCGCCGCCCCCTCAGGAAGGGTGGTCCAGGGGCCGTCCCAGCCTGCGCCCGCCCAGACGGCACCTTCTCAACTCACTGTTTACCTTCTTTCAATGGTCCAACTGTGACTAGAAGCCGGAGCCCTGCCTCCCCGCGCCCCCCGCTGTGCGCCGCGCTTCTGGGTGCTCTTACCACTGATGGGTGCTACACGTGACGGGTGCTCCTTGGGCTAAACCAGTGTGGGGCCACCGCACCTGGGCCGCACCCTTGGACTGCCTGCCTCTGGGCTCCCCCGTGCTCGCGCGGGGACGGTTGGGCTGGTGCCCGGTGGCCCGCCGTGTCTCTGGTGCTGCCATCTGCCCTGGGCGTGCCTCCGCCCCAGTGCCTGCTGGAAGTGCCCTCCTAGCGCACGCCGTCCCCTTCCGTAAGTGACCTCATCGGTTCCAAGCACCTGCCACGCCCGTTAGCATTAAATGCTCGTCGTCGTGTTCATCTCCTTGACTTTCTCCACCCTCCCCCCCCCATTCCTTTGAGGGTGAGTCCGTGTCCTTGGTCCTGTCCAGAAGGAGCCGTGAGTCCCCGTTCAGAGAGGAAGGACTGCCGCAGGACCACGGTCCCCTCGAAGGTGTCCCCACCCTCCTCCAGACCTTGCCCCGGTTCTACCCCAGGGGAGACAGGATGCCTGGCAGCCCCTCCTGCCTGGCCTCGGGTGGCCTTCCTGAGGGTGACCAGCAGGGACATGGGTGCGGCGTCCTCCCATCCCTAAGACTGTGGACAATATTAACAAATTTGAGATAAAAGCAACCTCTTGGTCTGGTAAAAACAACAAAACAACAACAATTCTTTGCCTCTCCTGGTTGAAATTCTGGGGTGGGCCGCCAGAAGTACTTCTGGAAGCATCTGTCCTTTGGTGGAGGGAGCTTTCCCAGACACGCTCCTGGTGGGAGACGATGGGCCCTTTGGGCCTCCTCCCAAGGCGCCCACAGGACGTGGCATCGGGAGCTGGCACCGTCCCTGGGGGCGAGAGTGTGCCACAGCGGAAACCTCATCTGGTGGCTTGAAAATAGTTGGTGACAACGAGGGGGGGGGGTCATGTGCCTTTGGGCCACTGTTGGGTGCACATCGTCCTTCTCATGCATGTGGGTGTTCTGGAAGGTGGCCTCCCACAGGATCTGGGTGTGTTCCTGACCCCTTGGTGCCCTGGTTTGGTGCCCGGCACCCGCCTGTGGCTGTGGTCCCCGAGCAGCCAGCCCTCCCGGCTTCCCAGGGTCCCCGCAGCAAGAGAACGGTGTCCTGTGCGGGGTGTGTTGGGTGCACGTCTCCTGTTCCCTAAGTGACAGGTTTCCCCACGGGATGAGACTGTGTCTCTATGTGAATCAAGCCAGTCGGCTTCCCAGCCAGCCTCGTACCAGAAATACAGACAACTCGCTGTGTCTGCTGTGCCCGTGCGGTTCTCGGGACATGTGCGCCACTCCCTCCCGCGCCGACCATGGAGGCTGCTGGGGGTGCGGGGGCCCGGATCTGGGCCCGTCGGCGATGGCTGGGCTCCTGCGGGGAGTGCGCATCGTGGCGGGCATGAGTGAGGGGCCTATCCCAGGAGGCTTGGGGTCTTCGAGTGGCATTTGGTTCTTTGGGGTTAGACCGGCCCCGGGGATGCCCGATTCCCCTCAGCCCGGCCTCTCCTGGAAGTTTGGTGTTTCAGTGGCCTAGGTTCGTAGGTGACACAGAGGAGACAGGAACTGATGTAAACTGCTCTGAGGCCTGCCCCACAAGAGGGTGGCGCTGGCCCCCTGAGGGGGGCTTGCTGTGCACGTGGATGGAGGAGGCCTCGTGGGGGCCGCCGTTCCCGGAGTGAGGGAGATCTTGGCCCAGATGCACCTTTCTTTTCCCGCCCGGCCCACCGTTCCCTTGCCTTGTGACCGTGGAGCACAGGAAGCCCGTCCCCTGTGGTGGCCACCTCCACCCGGCCCTTCAGATGCTGGCCAGAGTCCAGGGGGTCTGCTGGCAGAGCCGATGCCCCCGAGGCCTCCCCGGATGACCACGGCCCACCCTGGTGAGGCAGGGGCCTCCGCCACCCATGCTGGGCCACGTGCCCCAGGCGAGGCCTGCAGCTGTCGTCTGTAGGCAGGGTCCCGGTCACCCATGGCAGGCCTGCATCCTGCAGCCGGCAGAGGAGGGGGCGTCTGGACAGACCCTTAAACACGACAGGGTCCCATGGTGGGGCATTTCCTTGTCTGCCCAAGGGAGGTGGGCAAAGTGGCAGACCCCCCCAACACACCCAATTCACATCCTGGGGGGTGCACACCTCCTCCCTACTCTGTGCACGAAGGAGGAGCAGGACTGCCCTTCTGTGCCCGTCACAGACACTTCCGGCATCTCCGCCGGTGTCCACGGGGTCGGTCAGGAGGCCATGCTCTCCTGGGACCTCGTGCCCAAACCTGAGCCCTCCGAAGTGGCTCCCTCTTCTCTGGGTCAGCAGAGCTATTCAGTACTGTTTCCTTCCTTCTGGTCCAGATCTTCCTCAGACTGCGGAGGAGAGCTGCGGAGAGCTCCAGAAGCTCCTTTCTTTTGTGAGCCCCGGGGAGGTGAACGAGGGGTCTGTCGCCCAAACCTGCTTGTCAGCCCGAGACCATGGTTCTGTCTTCCATTTGCAAATCCTGACAGTTTTTTCTTTTCTCCAGAATAGAATCTGTCCACTGGGGTCTAAGTCGGGTGAGGTCCGTGTGTGGCTCCAGTGTAGGCAGATGACCCGGTCATCAGTACCGTCTGCCCAGGCGGCACGCAGGCTGTCGCCCGGGAGCCAGGGCCAGTGGGGGAAGGGGAAGGGTGTCTCCCGCTGGCCTTGGGTGGCTGAGTGGAGCTGGGTGGCCCAGCGTGAGGAGACCCTGGTGACACCGAGCAGTGCTTGCCTTTCATTTCTGCTGCTGCATCTGAGTCTCGTGAACTGTATCATTGGGAGAGGGTCAAGTCCAGGATGGCTGCGCCACTCCTGCCGTTAGCGGTGATTGGTCTCTATCATTCAGTCCCCCCTTAGACAGGTAAGGTCACCTTCAACAGCAAACTGACTCAATTGGTAAACACACAAGCTGGCATTCTTTCCAAGGGTTTCTACAAGAATTCCCTATAGAGTAGCATCTGTGATCACAGAAGTGTGTGAGCCCATGTAGACAATTGTGTACGTTGTTAGAGCCGCATCTCCCCGACGGCGCACCTCTTCGTTCAGTTGTTACCCAAAAACAAAGACCAAAGAAGGCCAATCTCTCATTTGACTTTGTATTTTTAATCCACCTGTTTTAAAAATTGCCGTCTGTAGTAACCGCTCGCTGTGAGGCCCCATCTTGACACTCCAAGTGATTGTGACCAGTGATTCATGTCCTGTTTTTCTGCTCTTCTAAGAAAAAAAAAACAACAAAAAGACAGTGTAAGTTATTGCTCAGCAATAATCATGTTGTTCATGTGAATTAACAACATGTCTGATTTTCTGATAGCATTATTATGTTTTATATTTTTGTTTACTGTACATTGTGTGTGGTTTTATTTGGTATTTATTTGTGTTCTGAGGTCTTGCGATGTTTTTGTGTTTCTGATGCTAATAACTGAAGTTTGTAAGAGTGTAGAATGCAAAACTTGGAAATGCTCAACTGTCTGATTAGAGGAAAATAAATCTGACTAAGGACTCCCTGTTTCTCTTTCCACCGTCTCCACAGGCAGAGCCTTGGGCTTGGGGTGTGGGGGCCCTTCCCCCTCCCCCACCCTGCGGGGCCTCCCCGGCTCCGCTCTCAGAAGTGGCCTTGGCAGCAGCCCCCCAGAATGGTGCACACTTGGCTCCGTCCTCTGCTGTCACCATCTTCAAGCTCCTGGTGTATGAAAGAGGGTCTCGTACACTTGGTTTGCACTAGACCCTGCAGACTCTGGAGCCGTTCCTGCCCGTGGCCTCCTGCGCCCCCCCCCCCCCCCCCCCCCCCCCCCCCCCGGCCAGGCAGTGGCTCTGACCTCGGCGAGTCCTGGAGGCTGGAGCACACGGCATCCTTGCTCTCAAGTCCCCGGCCTGGTGCAGAGCCGGGGAGGTGGCGCTCACTCCCACCAGGCCCAGGCCCTGGCATCCAGAATGGTGGAGGGGCCCCAGACCCGGGGTCCTGCCCCACGTCCGCCACTTCATCAGCTGTGGGACTTTGGGCTCTTATGAACCTCAGATTCCTCATCTGTCAAATG